AGTCCTTTTTACACCTGCCCCACAAGGGACCCACATTTTCCCAAGTTCTCTCACACTAAGGGAATGACACTGCCATTTCATGGAGCCTTCACTTTCTGTTAAGAAATGCAGGGACAGAATGCCTCTCCCAAACTGTGTCGGGACTCCTGCTGACTTCATGCTAAAGCTCACCCCCATTCAGACTTCCAAAGGGCAGGCTCTGTGCCTGCCTCAAGAGAAGGGGCCTTGTTTGCAAAGCCCATTTTTAAAAGTCATAAAGTCTGCAGACTCCATATGAAGGCCTAAATCATATGGTCCAGAATAGTTCATCCAGAACTTGGAATTAAGAGTTGGTTTCAAGTCCCAGTTCCAGTGTGTGTGTGTCTATGTGTTAGTTGTTTTGACTCTTTGCGACCCCATGGACTGAAGCCTGCCAGGCTCCTCTGTCCATCATCCAGAACTTGGAATTAAAACAGTTGATTTCAAGTCCCAGTTCCACTGTGTGTGTTACTCAGTTGTGTCCAACTCTGCAACCCCATGCACTGAAGCCTGTTAGGCTCCTCTGTCCATGGAATCTCCAGGCAAGAATACTGGAGTGGGTTACCTTGTTCTTCTCAGGTGATCTTCCCAACCCAGGGATCAAACCCACGTCTCCTGTATTGCAGTCAGATTCTTTTATGACCTTTCTCTTTACAACTTTCTGAGAGGACTGCAGAGTTTTAAATGAGATAATGTACCTACAAAGTGCCTTAGAAATTGTTACAGTGCAAATTTATTTTCCCTTAATTTTTAGAATTATCATCAGCTCCAAAAGATGGTGTAAAAGCTATAAAAGCCTTAACTTCTGGCAGGATAGGGCTGTTATGGAAGAGACCTCAGCTACTGGCTGGCACAGTTTCCAAGAGAGGATCCGAAAGCCTAGTTCATACTCCTCCTGGAGCCAAAGGCTGATTTAAATTACTTTTCATTCCACTGGCTGACATAACTCTAGTAACATGTTTGAGAACTCAGAACACTGGTTACCAATTGAAAAGAGTAGCTCTCTGGGGCTCTTTCCTGTCCCCAGGCCTTCCTTCACATATGCTATTTCTCAGAATTCTCAGGGTGCTCTGCACTGAGCTCCTTCCTCTGAATCCTACAAACCTCACTTCAAATACAATTTCTTCCTCAAGGAAACCTTCTTTGAGTCACCAGACAAGGTCTCACTCACAAAGGAACTTCTAACTCTCCTTTATACTGTGTGCTCAGTTGCTTTAGTCGTGCCCAACTCTGCGACCCTATCAACTGTAGCCAGCCAGAATTCTCTGTCCAGGGGATTCTCCAGGCAAGAATACTGGAGTGGGTTGCCATGCTCTCCAGGGGACTCTTCCTGACCCAGGGATTGAACCTGTGTCTCTTATGTCTCATGCATCAGGATTCTTTACCAGTGGATTCTTTACCACTGGTGCCATCTGGGAAGCCCTTCCATTATACCATTTTATCCAATCGTGATTGTAACTATGCAAGTCCTGCAATGTGTATATATGGTCTGAGAGGGCAAGGTTCACATCTCTCTGACTCCTTCCATATCCTTGTGCCCTGGATAAAGACAATAAAATGTGCTGAATGAGGCCAGAGCTTTGTGCTTCTTCAATCTTGTTAAGAGCTCTTGTGGCAATGAACATAAAGCATATAAAGAAAACTAATTTAGTGCTGCAGAAAGGGTTCTGGATGGAGAAATGCTTCCTTTGGCAGATTTCTCCAATAAAAAAGAATTTATGGGCTTAATTAAATCATCAAGATTCTTTTCAGAGGAGCAGGAATGGTCAAGGATTGAGCTTGCCCTGAATTATTCACTGTATTCAAGTGGAGCAGCTCTTCTGGGAAGAGCAGTTAATGTCAACAAGGAAATCGGCACAACTTCCTATGTAAACGGACAACGGTCCTTTCTTTCTCTTTGATTGGGAGGGCCCAGGAGACAGCTTCCAAGTGTGGAAACTACCTTAGGCAAAACCATACTTTGCTTAGGCAAGACGAAATTCTATATCAATCGCACTTTTTCCTCAGTTGTTACTATTTGCTTTTCCAATGCCTTCCCACCCCTACCTTAAGATAAATTTATATCAGTGTTCAGCTTCATCTAAGAGAAATATCCTTTTTTTTTCCCACCTTATCCTGACTTTTGGAAAAAAGGTGTTGCTCCCCCAAAAGTATGACTTCAGACAACAGCTACAAAATCTGTGTGTGGTTTTGTGTGAGAGTATGTGTGTGACAGACCCCCTCTCTTTCCTCTAAAATCACACTTGCTCACCCTCCTTACCCCACTGGCTCTGGGTGGCCAAGTGCTGGTAGATCTGGTTGCCTTAAAAACACACAAACAAGAAATAGGGCCTGATTTTCATAAAATGCATTGCCAAGAAGGAGCCTCAAGTAAGCTTCAACATCTGTGTAATAATAAAAAAATGTCTGTCTGTAAACACCAATGACTGAGAGAAGATTATCTCGTGGCCAAGCAGTGCTGCCCGGACCTGATTTCCTGGGTCAAGAAACAGCAGGACCACAGCATTTAATCATCAGACAAGTGGCCAGAGTTAGAACTTCCTCACAGCCTCCTATCACTGAGACCTTCTCAAATTTCACTGGGCTGGTTCGTATTAGGGTGACTGAGGAGCTTTGGCTTCAGGGATCCTTTGTTATTATCCTTTAATTATCATTAGTCATTTGGGTTTTGACAATTTCTGCACGATGTAGGCTTCTTTTCCTCCCTGTAAAAGAAGAGGCAACTCATCGATTCAGTACCTGGAAAAGTGAATTTCCTGTGGAATGACAGGAATTACATAGAAGCAAGCAATTTTATTTTCCTCAAATGTAGCAATAATTTTAATCTGTACATACATAAAACAAACAGTGCAATTATAAAACCTTGAAGGTGACATGCATACTTTAAGGTGCAGTTGGGATGGGGGAGGATGTTAGCATCTCCAATTTTCCTTACCGTTGTTTTTTTTTTTAAGTTCCTTATGCAAAAAGCACTGAGTCAGGAAACTTCATCTGGAATGCTGAAGTTAAAGGTGAACTTCCTGAAGTTTGCACGTCTAAGTATCACAAACAAAACAGAAATGACCTCCTAGAACAGTTTGAGAGGGAACAGAGTAATATGGCTGGGCTTTCAAGCTGGGAATGAATGAAATCAGGGATGCATTTTTCTGAAAAACTAAAAGAATGTTTGTAACTGAGTGTCCTGTTTCTGTTTCACAGTTGCTACCCACTTGAGCCCTTCCATCAATCTTTTTATTCGGTATAGGTTCTAAATAGATGCTGTTCAATGTTACTTGTAACTAAGGGTGATGAGATGCAGAAAAGAGGACCTGGGAAAATGGCTTCTTCCTTGATGTCTGAGTCCGTGCTCCTCTTCCATTGTTAGTTCTTATGGCCTTTTCTCTGCCATGGAAGCAGAGGTAGCTGGTGCACAATGTCAGATGTTGTCATCGTTCACAGGCCCGGGGTGGGCAGTAAAGGCGAGGGACGGGGGGGGTCTACCTTTGCTTCTTCCACAATCCCTTTCTCAGGCTTTCCTGGCCTTTCAGTTGGAACTTCGAGAACTAGAAAGTCAGTTCACTGGGTCCTTGACTCTGAGGCCAGGATGAGACAAGACATGGTAGAGTGACAAGACACAAAGGGAAGATGTGGTACCAATTAGCCTCGGAGCAGGATAGAGAGATTTATATTTGCACTGATGAGAATTCAAATTCCCAAAGTCAATCTAAAAAAAAAAAAAAATGAAGATTTTTCCTTTGAGTATTACTTTTTTCTCTGTACAGGTGGTCTGTGCACTTCTGGTGAGAATTCCTTGCACCACTCTCAAGTCAGCTGATGCCAGGGACACGCCGGGGCAGGAGGCGCTAGGCTCGTCTGGAACAGCTCTTTCTGGCAGTGACATTTTGATTTGAAACCCAAAGTTAAATCCATACGTGGTGTCATGGTTATTAAAATAATGAAATATTACTAGCCAAAGGTAACTGCAATTCAATCAATGTTATATTTCCACACACAGAAGTTTAGAAAAATCAAGAGTATGATAATAAAAACCATAAAATTAAACAGAAGAAAATCAATTTCTATAAGAAATCAAATATATTTACAGTGAGATTTAAAGGGAAAAATAAGCTACTTGAATCATAAATTTAATTTTATTTTAAATAACTTTAGCTAACCTCAGCTGTTAATACAATAAAAGCAGAAAGAACAGGCTGCCTTTTTTTCTTCCAGATTTAAATCAGAGAATTGTATCTACAATAACTGACATAACTCACGTCTTGTCCTTCACCCATCTCATCAAAAAATTATTGCATTTCCCCCCAAAATTGTATTTTTTTTTTTGGGGGGGGGATTCCTCTGTGAATACACTCATTTCGTCCTCATTCCTGGAGGCATCTTGGTTTAAATCCATCTTTAAAAAAGGGAGAAGGGGTACATATGTGGAGGCAAAATATTCTCTCGAAGCCAACAGATACAGAGTTGCTAGAAGAAGCTGATTGTACACACAAGCTGCCTGGTTGGGAAGGGTAGGGCTGTTGATTCAGAGACGTGTGACAGCCTTTGGTGGACGGACACAGGCCAAGCCCCACCGGGCCCTTCTTCCCTGGCAGGGTCGGGACTAAGCCAGCTGAAGTGGAGCTGCATCTTCCCCTTAGAACTCGTCCTTCTGGTTCTCCTCCAAAAGTCTTCATCCAGATAAGAAGCCAATGACTGATTACAAAAATAAGAATAATTAAATTTGGCTCAAGAGAGAGATTGTCCAACTGTTCTGCCTTGTTATTTTATCAATATCCAAGGCCTTTACAAAAAAGAAACAAAAACATCTCTCAATCTCCCAACAAAAGTGAACTTTTTTCTTTTTTTCCTTTTTTTTTTTTTGCTCCAAATGCTAGGACCTGAAGAATGGCTGCAGATTGAGATATCAAAAATCTCAGAAAAATATATAATATATTTGTATATCTCTGTAGGTCTATTATTTAAATTTCACATTCCTTTAAAAGTGGTTATTCAGTCAGTAGCTGCTGAAGGAGGCTCTTCTGCTGGGCCTGGGGGGTCTGTGGTCCTGCCGTGGGTTTTTGAGTTCCCAGTGGACCAGGCTGGTTCAGGTAAGGGTCCCCGCCTACCAGATTCACTGTACACTGGACGTCAGCAAACACCTGAACCTGTTGCACCTGCTGGAACACAAATAAAAGATGTGTTTAGACAGAAGGGTCTGCCCCCCCGGCTTATGAGTGGGTACTACTTGAAGTGGAAACTCACTAGAGCATTCCTCTAGTCTGTAGTCACCACAGAGAAGAACTCTTCTGTCTTCTTGTCCTACAAAAAGAAAATCGCTGCACTCATTTTGCTCAGGGTTCTGGAAAGTTCACACTTTAAAAATAAAATCAAAATTGGAATGGTCAAGCCTCCTACAGGGTTGCCATCAATACTGAAAACGAGCATCATTGCTAATATTGTCAAGATTGGGAAAAGCCCAGTTTCAGTCTGGGTATCCAGTGGTGGGTTTAAAAAATAGGTATATTATTTGGAAAACTGGTTATAAAAGTATTCTATGGATGACTTTAGGAGGGTAAAAAAAATCTTTATGATGTTAGAAAAATAAAGGCTTTAACTCAGTATTAGCAAAATAAAAACCACCACAACTCAGTAACAGGACATGAGTATTACTAAAATTAATGTCCAGAGGATTTGTGTAGTATCTAATATACTATTACATAGCTCCTTTACATATTACCTTTAGAATTACAGCAAAATATTAGTAGAACAATTTTATACTTAACTTATTTTTTCCTGATAGATAGTCCATCCAAACGCATGAGCTGAAAATAACACTAAACTACTAGCTGAGAACAGTGTGAATTTTCCCTTTAACTATCAGGTTGGCCAAAAAGTTCATTCCGGTTTTTCCGTAAGAGCTTAATACTTTCAGTAATAATGCATGTATTCCTTTAAAAAGTCTAAGGTTATATAGTTTTAACATTTTCTATCAGAAAAACAAAGCCAGAGTTAGTCTTTACCAACCAGCCTTATTATTAGAAAGTCGTTTGTAGAACTGATGAGGCCAGTATCACACCTGTGAATGTTCTAGACCAACAGTGGGGATGCCTTCTAAGGCATCCAATGCATCTGTCTGTCTCCGCAGTTGGCAAACTTGTGCGTATTTAATAGGCTCAGGAAGTATTTTAGATTAGCGATAGATTTTTTGGGGGGTCTTTCATCACTAACTTCATGCCCATCATACTTAGCATTTTTGAAAACTTTTCTATCCTAATTGAATAAAAGCTGCTTTCTATCAACCTTAACAGGCCAACTGTCAAATCTCCCGACTATCCAATGTCTTCATCAGCCTAACGCCTGCTGTTTTCTCCTCTCGATTCACTTGAGTCACTTTCACCTCTACTCCACTCTCCCGGATAACGCTGGTGGTTCCTGAGCCGAGTGTCTTTAGTATCTGATGAATTAAATCTCTGTTTACATTAGTGTCGTTTCTCTCCTCATCCTCCTCTTTCCCCCAGTTTCCCAAACTTCGCTTCTTGTTCCCACAGGTTCCCATTTGGCTCTTCTTTTTCGGGGCTCTCCCTTGCGTACCTAACATACACCAGCTCTCTGTCTGAGTCTATTCTGTGGCTGTCTCTGTGCCCTCCACCCACCTTTGTTCTCTGTAGAACTTCTCATTCCTACTCTTTTCGCTCTAGAGCTCCAACCTTGGACTTCATCTCTCTCTGTGTTAATCTCCCTGTGTTCCTGTTCTCTCCTTTTCCCCATCCCAGCTCTCCGAATGCAGAGAGCCTTGAATCCTCCCCTAGTCCTTCTCTACTTTCTCCTTTTGTGTACAACTACCTTTATACTTCTACCTAACTCACTCCCCAGCTTTCGTCTGGCAAGTACAAAAACATTAGGGCAAAGAGATTTCACGATGAGCCACTATAGAAAGATGATTTTGCTACTGAGACTCAACATAAACAAACTACAGTGTGTTTAGGCAATGGCTGATTTAAAAATTTAACACAGAATTTTGTTCATATGTTTCAACATATTTAATACATAAGGTGTTTGTGCCTCTAAACTCAAAAAAATTACTGATAAGGTCATGATAAAGCAAAGGTGAGAAAATTCTGCTCCTTTAAAAAGAATGCTATATTTAAAAAAGATCACCTATTTAGAACTTTTAAAAATTGAAAAGATTAAACCAAACTCCCAAAAGTACATATTTCAGCCTCTTTGAATTATTACTTAATCATGGTGCCTCAGACCAGATCTCAAAGGACTTCTGATACTGCTATACCTTCACAGACAGGCAAGGCAATACGAAAACAAAACTTATGATTTGCCAGGTGAGAGCTGTAATGTGAGAGCTGAGTCCCAACCTCTTAAGATCTTCTGATGCAGTTTCTACTTCAATTCAAATACTGTCCCAGGACTTAGGAACTTTGAAACTCAGTTGTTTTGTCTTAAGTAATTTGTTGAGTTACTCCAGTATATGTCTCTGTTAAGTATGAGACTTTTAAAAAACTTCTAGTGAATGAAGACCTCAATTCCCTCAGCACAAAAGCCTCTCTTCACACAGCACACGGGACTCAGATCCTATTTCCTGAGGCTCCAACTATGAACACAGTTCCCTAACTGGTTTTCCTCTTTCAGAACTGGGTTGCCCAGTGCTCTTCCTCTCCCCTTCTCCCACTTAAGATGAAGTCTAAACTAGGTCTTCCATCACTGTTCCCCTTCAGGAATGAAGCTCCATTCGCAGGGCTGAATTTGAATCCCTTAGAGTTTAGCATTCAAGGTCCTTGGAAATTTGCCCCAACCTACTTTCCCACTTTCAGTTCCTATGAATTCTTATTACAAACCCTTTCTTCTCAGTGGATGTGGGTTCCCAGGACTATGCTGATATCACTGTTTCCCTCTCTCTGTGCCCTCTAACTTCCAATCCCCTGGACTTTCACACTCAAGCTTTCCTTCCCCAGCCTCCAAAACCCACAATACCTTTCTATTCACTAGCCCTGCTAACTGTCCTTCAAGGCCCAGTTCAGTCCCATCTCCTATATAAATGCTCTTCTGACCATCTCCACAATGTCTCCTTTCTTTGAATGCTTATGGGTTTTGTTACTTGCAATCAATTTGTGTTTGCCTTCTTTGGTTATGTAATAATTCATGTGCATATGTCTGTATGTTTTATCAAGCGCTAAGTGGTATGGCAGAAAGAGCATGAACTTTGGTGTTAGAAAGACCTGGGTTTGAACCTCAGCTCTGCCACTTTCTTTTCTGTAAATTACACAGTCAAATCTCCTCAGATTCTGTTTCTTTATCTGTGCGAGAAAAAAGGGAAACTGACTCCTTCATAGGGTTATAGTGATGCTTACATGAGATGAAGCACACAGTGCCTAACACAATGCCTGGCAAATCATAAGCTTTCTTTCCTCACGTCTTACCACAGTTCACCTAAAGAGCAAACATGTCTCATGTTTCTTTGTTTGTGTTTCCTCTACCTTCGCATAAGGGCTATATACTTTTTTAAAATCTTAATTTATGTTAATATAGGAAAGTGGCCACCCCTGTTATTTGTATTGTTCTGAAACAAACTTCTAAAAGGAGGCAGAGTACACAATATGCATTCCGTTTTGTCTGAATTTATTGAGCTCTTTTGAGGTATTTTGATTACACACAAGTTTTAGCACTGTGTTTACTTACAAATAGCAATTAGTGGTCACCATTTGTGATCCCTTATCCTGACATTTAATGTTGATTAAACATTCTGAAAGCTTAACTCATTTAACCCTCTCATAATCCTATGAGCAGGTTAGTTCTGCTGGTTACACAGCAACTCAGGAAAGTTCCCTAACCCGCCCAGGATGACATGACTAAGAGCAGAGCCAGGACTCACACCCAGCTCTGACTCTCAAGGTCATGCTCTCAACCATGATGCTATACAGTTTCCTGTGTATCTAGATAAAATTTGACAGCTGTGGGCTTAGAATTGTCTTACTGACCTGGGTTCCATCTGCTTCTGTTTTGAGAAGGTCAGTGGATGAGAGCTGGTTGCAGTAGAGGCCCGTGTGTCTCAGTGCTGGATCATTTATCTATTAAAGGAAGTACAAGACCAAATTACAATCTAGTTGTTTAAGTTGAAGACCAAATTCCTCAATGAGGAACAATCTCACTGACAGAAAAGTAATGGGAAGAGAGCAGGAATAACAAGCTTTGCAATTTACTGTGCAGTCAGAAGTCAGGACAGTGGTTCCCTTCGTAGGAGTAGAGAGAGATGTAAGGGAGTGTGTAAGGGGAGAACCTCTGGGGTGCTGCTGGTAATGTTCTGCTTCTTGATGTAGGTGATAGTTATAAAGGTGTGTTCAGTGTATGAAAATTCATCTAGTTGTATACTCTTCTTTATATTCTTATATATGATAACTTTAATAAAAATTTAATTCAACACTCACAAAAGTTAATTAGCAAAACACTTCCATTGCCAGGCAAGATTCAGTAACAGGTATCAGATTTATCCTCTGCCTGAATCAACTAAAAAACTGGACAAAAATGTATGAAACGAACACATTCAAGACCTTGGACAAAGGCAATGAAGGAAAGTTGCTCCTAAGGACTGGGAAACCATTGAGGTGAGTCCTACCACGACCCTTGCCTACTGCCTAAAGAGAATCTGAGGACAGTATGAGGACAAGGAACCAGACAATGCCTGGCAGTCTCACTGAGATGAGAAGATATAGCTAGAAATCATAGGGCAGAATATCAGATGAGAGAGAACTACACAGAGAGAAAACCCCAAAGATCTGCAGAGAGTCCCCTCAAGTCTGCAGCTTAGTACTGATCAGTTGATTAATGGATCCATTAATGATTAATGGATCTTAGGGAACTACCCAAAGCAGAGGAAAGATTCACCTGAAAAGATATACATGGAATAATTCTCAAAGATCACACAGAGTTGGGAATAGGTCCAGATCCCACCAGTTAGAGTGAAAAACATCATAATTCAGGTAGTATCACATAGTGATAGGGTAAAATTAGTCCTATACTAAATATTGTTCTAGTTCTACTAAACAAAAAAGCAAGACCTGAAAAAATTCAAACTGTTTATTTCCAGGTAATTTAACCATTTCCCAAAACAAATCTCAATATTTATACGAACATAAACAAGATAAAATTCACATGTCTGGCATCCAATAAAAAATTACCAGGTGTGCAAAGTAGCGAGACTCTGACATAATCATGTCAATGTTTTCTTAGGTCAGTCTTCCAAGGTAATAGGAATAAAAGCAAAAATAAACAAACAGGAGTTAATCAAATTATAAGCTTTTGTACAGTAAAGGAAACTATAAACAAAATTAAAAGACAATCTATGGACTGGAAGAAAAATGTCTGCAAATGATGTAATTGATAAAGGCTTAATTTCCAGAATATACAAACAGCTTATACAAGTCAATAACAAAAAAACAAACAACCAAATCGAAAAATGGGCAGAAGACCTATACAGACATTTCTCCAAAGAAGACATACAGATGGCCAACAGCTACATGAAAAGATGTTCATCAATACTGATGATTAGAAAAATGCAAATCAAAACTACAATGAGGGGACTTCCCTGGCAGTCCAGTGGTTAAGATTCTGTTCTTCCACTGCAGAGGGCACAAGTTTGATCCCTGATCAGGGAACTAAGATTCTACATGCCACATACCACAGCCACCCCCCACCCCAGCAAAAAAACAACAACAAAAAAAACAACTACAATGAAGTACCACATCACACTAGTCCGAATGGCCATCATTAAGAAGTCTACAAATAATAAATGCTGAAGAGGGTGTGCACAAGAAAGAGAACCCTCTTGCACTGTTGGTGGGAACATAAATTGGTAGAGAATAGATTTGTGGTTACTAAGGGGGTGAGGAAGTAGGGGAGAGAAGGACTGGGAGTTTGGGATTAGCAGATGCAAATTATTATACATAGGATGGATAAACAACAAGGTCTTACTGTATAGCACAGGAAATTATATTAAACAAACTGTGATAAACCATAATGGAAAAAAAAGTAGCAAGAAAATGATCCACAATTTAGCGAGAAAAAAAAAATCAGTCAGCTGAAACCAACTCCCAAATAATGCAGATGCTAGAAGTGACAAGCAAGACTATTAACAGTTATAATAACCATATTCCACATATTAAAGAAAACAGCAGAAAGACTGAACATGTTAGAGATACAGAAGATATGAAAGGGGTTCAAAGTGAACTTCCAGAGAGGAAAATAGCAATGTCTGAGATAAAAAATACACTAGATACAACTGACAGATCAGGTATTGCAAAAGAAAAAATATAGTTAATCTGACATTACAGCAATACAAATTATCCAAAATGAAACACATAGGAATAAAAAAGACTGGTCTCATACTCCCTTAAAATCTCCAAAGCCAGAGAATCAGTGAGCTGTGGGGTAACTTCAGATAGCCTACAATATGTGTAATTAAAGTCTCTGAAGGAGAGGAGGCGGGTGGTGACAGAAAAAAAATAGCTGAAGAAATAATGGCCAATACTTTTTCAGATTTAATGAAAACTATATACCTGTGAATCAAGAAGATTACTGAACCCCAACCCAAGCATAGAACTATGAATAAAATCACACTAAGGCATATCATAATCCAATTATCTAAAACCAGTGATGAAGAGAGTAACTCTTAGAAGCACCTAGAAAGGGAAAAACATCAATCATGTCCAAAGGAACAAAGATAAAAGTGACAGCAGATACCTCATCAGAAATAAAGGAGAGCAATGTATTTAAAGTATTGAAAACTACCAACCTAGAATTCAGGGAAAAGAATTTTCAAAGATGAAGGTGAAACAACATCTTTTCAGACACATGAAAGCTGAAAGAATTCTCCACCAGCAGACCTGTACTATAAAAAATGTTAAATGAAGATCTTCTGGTAGAAGGAAAATGATACCAGATGGAAATTTGGATCTACAGCAAGAAATGAAGAACACTGGAAATAACTACATGAGGACATATAAAAATTACCTACTTAAACCTTAAAAAATATAACTGTTTAAAAGTTTTTAAGTAAAAAAGTACTAACAACATATTGTGGGGTATATAACATATATATGGTAATGTTCTGACATGACAGACACGATATGTATGATGACAATAGCATAGGAAGGGAGAAATGGAAATAAACTGTTGTGAGATTTTTGTATTTATATGAGGTGATATAATTGCATTTGAAGGCAGATGATGACAAAGATGTATACTATAAACTCTAAAGCAACTATTAAAACAACAGGAATTATTTATAGCTAATAAAGCAACAAAGGAGTTACACTAAAAAAGGCAAGATGGGAGAAAGAAAACAAATAAGATGAGAGATTTAGAACTTCAATATCAACATCAATAATCACATTAAATATAAATGGTCTAGCTACTCCAGTTAAAAGGCAGAGACTGTCAAACTGAATAAAAAAGCAAGACCCAACTATATAAGAAATACATTTTATTTTATTTTATTTTTTACCAGGGTAGTCTAAGAAATACATTTTAAATGTAATATTCTTTTCCATAATTCATTATATTTTTTTATTACTTTGTCTTAATATACAAGAGACAATGAATAATTCTAAAAACCAAACTACAACAACATAATAACAAGGACAAGAAACAATACCATTTAATTCTTACATTCTGTTATAACATCACTAGGTTGTTGATTTTTTTTTTCAATGCTAACTTCTCTGGACAATGGGAATTTTTTTTTTTTTAAATTCAAATCAAAAAGGAATTCTAAGGAAAAGGTAATTAGTGTTTACATACTTTTATGAATTGCTATAAATTATGGCTATACGATCATAGCATAGTCACCATAATCTACTTTGTGGTTGCTGATAGAATAGTAATTACAGAGAGTTACCCAAAGATCTTCTTAAATATCACTTTGAATTTAGTCATTCACTCCTTAAAAATCTTTAGGAGGCTCCAAGATTAACTGGACGTTTAGATGGCCTGCAACATCTCCTAAAAAGTTTACTACATAAATCTGCTCTAAATATAATATAAACATCCCCTTAACATTCATTAGATTTTTCATCTTGAATATTCTTTTCTATTTCTCCCTTTAGGCAAATTTTCCATGAAGACTTTCCTAACCAGACCCTTTTTCTTTTAAACCCTCTGTGGCTAATTGTATATACCCCTAATCTGACAGAAATGTATCTCCTACAAAACTGTTTTATCCTATTATTCAACTAACCTTTTGCTCAGTTTGAACCTTCCCAACTTGTTAATACTGTCTTCCCACAGAGCTAACTTTGTATACAGTAAGTACAGAGTTTCTTGAATTGAAAGGCAAAAATGAAGAAAATATGTTCAGAATAGAAAGGATAAGTTCTGATCAATGTATTATACATGTATTATTTTCTAATAAATCTAAAACAATAAAATCTCATGAGACTTGAATTTTACATGATCTGTCAAAATTATCTTAATAAACAGTAATTATCAAAAGATAGGGAAAGAAAAAGAAGTTTGGTTACTTTGGGCAAGTATGAACATACCTGATTTTCTCTGGAATAATGAACTGCAGGGTGGTGTGATACAGAGCTGGGTGTGTGTATGCGGGTAGCAAATGTGCCAGTTGTGCCACTTACCTGCTCAGGGCACACAGTGTTCATTCCTGGCATCTGCAAAGAGCTCATCTGCATCTGGCCCATCATTGGGTTCATGTTCTGAACATTTGTGTTTCCACCTGCCATGGACACGGTGATGCTCATATTGTTGTACACTCCTGGCTGTGCAGGCGTGGGCTGGTTCTGTATAGCTTGACTGAATACACTGTTAACTCAAAAAGAATCTCAATTACATCCACTGATCATGAAGATGGGGATATGACTGGACTCCTTATCTAAATTATCAGATATAGGATTCCAAAGAAAATATTTTACATTCTTAACTTATATGTAAGACTTTATATTATTACAATATATAAAAACTAAGAACCATTCAGATGCACTCTGAACTCTACCCAAGGGGTTTAATAACTAAAAAGACCTCATTTTGTTACAATTATCTGGCCCAGTATCAGAGCTGTTAAGCTTCAATTATCCAAAAAACCAAGAAAGTTTTCCACTTAAGTAAATCTTGCAGATAATTGAAGTTTACCAATTTAATTATCAAAATCATTCTAAAATTTATTACATTATTTTATCTTCTTAAACAGAGAACATCCTTTTTCAGCAAAGTCCCTTGCATATGTGTCAATCTTCAATAACTATTCACTGAATAAATTTAACAAAGGAATGAATGATCCAAAGGTAGCATTCTTATACTGTGATTGGGTATATATATCCTTAGACTTAAAACTTGAGGGGAGTAATGGTATTTTGTTTCATTTATTCCTTGTCTCTAGTTAACAAGTGACACACAGCAGCAGGCACTCAGTAAATATCTCATGAATGAATAATTGGGGACATGGGTTATTAGTGCTGTCAACTGATACAAGTTCAGATTGCTTTTACTGGTAGATTTTACTGTGTTTATGGGGCTTCCCAGGTGACGCCAGTGGTAAAGGGCCTGTCAATGCAGGAGACAGAGAGACAAGGGTTTGATCCCTGGGTCAGGAAGAGTCCCTGGAGAAGGCCACGGCAACCTATTCCGGTATTCTTGCCTGAGAAGCCCACAGAGAGAGGAGCCTGGCAGGCTACAGTCCATAGGGTTGCAAAGAGTCAGATGTGACTGAAGCGACTTGACACACACGCACTGCATCTATACCAATGTTTTTTGAAGTGTAGTCCAGAGACCATCTGCAAGAGAATTCCCTGGTCTTCATTGAAAATTGAGACTCTCAGGCCTTACCCCATCCTAGTGAATCATATTTTCTGGGGGTAGGTATGGAAAAGCATTTCTAACAACTTAAATGCACATTAAAATTCAAAAGCCTTTATTCAGTGTCCTACTGCTTACTGTCACTTCTCAAGGTTTCAGCTTCTGACCTCTTTCAATATGCTATAAACTAAGAGGAAATCAGAAGTGTATAACCAGATATTTTTATTTGGAAAACAAAATGCTTTTGAAGACTTCAATGTTCTTCTCAGGTCTGAAGACAGCTTCATGTCTTTTCTAGGAAACAAGATACAAGGGCAATAATTATGGTTTTCAGAGTGCCTGTTTTACAGACTTCCTTCTTTACCACCAAGGTCTGGACTGTTGTTACACCAAGGATCTCAATGTTAAACTAGTTTCTGTTAGTAGGCAGAAGAGTAGGGAATAAACTCCAAGTAAGTAGAATTTGAAACTTTATATCTGAGTGATATAGTGATACAGATAAACACATCTAAAGGAAAATAATATGAATTTGCATTTTTATGTGTGTCTTTGTGTCTTTGCTAAGTTCTACAAAACACCAAATGTTTTATGATTATCTATCAATGTTTTATGATTATCTATCAATTTTTAAACAATAAGCTGCTTGTAAAATTCCACCTATTTTAATGTTAATTCTAAAGAATTTGATTTCAAAAATTATTGATTCCATCAATGGCTTTTCTATTCCTTGCTAGCTCTTTGGAGGAAAGCAGGATGTACTGACATTTATAGCTTCCGGTAAATTAAGGTAATCATACTGAAATTCACAGGCTGAGAAACAGCCTATTCATCATGTCTGAAGGAAAGAAGTGAATTTTCCCTAAGTAATTATAAAACACAAATGCTCAAAGAAAATTATATGCCTAGGAAATGGTCAATAATGCATCTGTGGACCATTAGTGTCTACAGTGTGTATGCTTGTCAGACAGTGTCCCCACAACTAAAGGTGAGAAAAAAAAAACCTATTAGTCTACTGCCCATTTTCTAATGAGAACATTTCTGCCTTAGACAGTGCTCATTTGTCAACTGATACATAAATCACCTCTGTGGAGGCGCAGAGCTATGTAAGTTAATGCATGCAGAAGTTTCAAGGACTGCAATGATGTCATACTTAGTGAAAAAGGTTTAGGATTTAATTTCTTTTCAAATTTCTATTTGGGACTATATATTAGCTTAAGTTCTTTCAAACCAAGCCTGCCAATAGTTCCATTTTGGGTTCTTCCCTCATAGAAAGAAGATCAAGCCCTTTCGCAGCATTAATCATTGTTCCACGGCCTGGAATGGATTGTGGGGTTCACTGGCACCTTAGGCCCAATTCATGGAGGACCCTTCCCCTCACCTAATCCCTGACTGGCCTCATGGCAGTTACCACAGTTTCCTTAAGCTAGCACCAGGTATTTGGGAGCCCCGTGAGGGGAGAGATGACAAAGTCAGCCTAAAGTAAGTGCCATAGATATTACAGGTGTTAACAAACAGGGAGGAGTGTTCCCGGTCAAATAAGTCTGAGAAACAAAGGGTTAAACCACAGGACTTAACATTTAAAATGCTAATAAGGCCTGAGACTCTCCTTTGTGACTAGAGTTACAGGGAAACACTGCCCTAGGGCCTGGACAAATAGGTCTGTTTAACCCTTTGTTTCTCTTGCCACCAAAGAGATAAAAAGACTCATGTTAGTTATACTGTCTCCAAACTGTATCACATCATTCTGCTTAGTGAGTTTTTGTTTCATGTTTTATTTCTCTCTGACCTACTCCCGTCACTACACTCTAGGTAAACTGACAACAAGGGCTGTTTTCCCCAGTTTCTTGTGATATCTTCCACTATGCAAAAGAGACAGTGAGTGATCACAAACTATATGCTGCCTGTGTTGACTAATAAGCTTTTATACATGAACTAAATAAGCAAGTATGAATGTTTGAAAAGCTAGTGATAACTATTTTCTTTCTCAAATGATTTGAGAAAGTCAAAGTTCACAGAAACAGCTAAAGTACAACAAAAACTCAAGTCTGTATTTGAATGTGAACCCAAAATATGATTGAGGAACAGGGAATCTCTGCACTCATTTCTTCAATGGATGTGTATTAAGTGCTCATGTGTCTTAAAGGATGGGCATACAGAAGTAAACAGAAACAAAGTCTTTGCTCTTCTGAGGTTTATAGTTCAGCTGGAGGAGACATACCATAAAGAGACTAATACACAATATGTGAGATGTTAAGAATAAAGAGATATAAAGAAGGAAATGGAGGAACCAAAGAGTGGGAAATGGCGTTTAGAAATGATGGTAAGGGAAGTCTAAAATGGTGACATTCAGTATCTATGTCTAATAAGGTGAGACTTGAAGCATGAGAGAGAAAACCATGTGGCTACTGAGAGAAGAAGATTCCAGCAGAGGGATTTAAAAATGCAAAGGCCTGAGTATGCAATGTGCTTGGCATATCTGAGGAACAGAAGAATAAATAGAAGCCACTACGGCAGAGTAAGTGATGAGAATACAGATGAGGCCAGGGAGGTACCCAGGAGCAACATTATGCAGGGTGTCACAGGCCCTGTGTTGTATTTTGAATAAGCTGGCATGTTTTGAGTAAAGGACTGTTATCTTGCCTCATGTTTTAAAAGCATCACAATGTGCAGACGAAACTGTAGTGGAGCAAGGGTGGAAGCAGGAAGACAGGAGGTCACTGCAGTGGTCCAGAAAAAGGATGATGCTGGCTTGCGCTAAAGTGTACAAATGGGACAGGTAAAGAGTGAGAGCTGCTAAAAAGCTGATGTGATTTGCTGATGGATGTGGGATGTGAGAGAAAGTTTGAGATGTCTATTAGACTTGTAAGTGGAGCTGTCCGTTAGGCTGCTGTATATATGGTATGCTGTTTAGGACAGAAATCTGGGCTAGAGTCCTAAATCTGGGAATCATAAACATAGAGATAGGTATGCATTATCAGTAAGATTGGAAGATATAATCAAGGGAGGAAGTAGATATGAGGAAGAGGTCCTAGAATGAGCTCTGAGGCCCTAAAACGGAGGTCCGAGAGATGAGGAAGAGCCAGCAGAAGAGACAGAGTTAGGAGGAGAGTCACCTTTCTCAAGAGACAGCTGTTCCACAAACCAAATGAAGAAAGAGCTTCAAGAAAGAGTAAGTGTGTGACTATGTCAAGTGCTATCAATGCTCACTGCATTTGGCACTGTAAAGGACAGTAAGGACTTTGATAAGAATACTTTGGGTGGAATGATTGGGATGAAAGCCTCACAGATTCAATAAGGAATGGAAAGAGAGGAAGGAATTTAACTGCGAAGGTGAGCAGATTTGTCACCATTACTGCGTTTTTTTTTCCTCAAGGAACATTTAAACAATCAGGCGTAGGTATGGAGCAAGCGTTTAGTTAGATTCCATTAGGGAACATTTTGCTAGGCATAACTGCAACGGAGGGAGAGCTGGGCAAGAGGGCTGAGAATGCCTGTTAGGGAGTAATTATAATGATGGGCCATGGAACCTAAAGTGAGTTCAAGAAGCTGGGATTAGAACACCCTAGGAGACTAAGTTCTTGCACATCACACAGACAGTTCTATTTCTACCTAGCTGACACCAGTCCTCACGGAGAGCTACACAGTTCTCTAACAGGAAGTTTCCTCCCTCACCTTTTAATGAACTTTGAGAGAATATGGTCTTAAGTTTTCAACATTAATTACCTTACTTATTATGTTGTCAGATCAAACGGCTTCCCTGTCATTTAGAACCAAGACACACCCAAATTAAAACCCTTATAAAACTCAAGTGATGTGTGAAAAGTTTAGCAGCCACAATTTGGGAGGAAAATGACTTTAGTAAGATAATTCTAAGTAAAATGGGTAAAATGAGGACACTGAAAATCTAGAGATTCAAAAAGCCAGATAAGGCAGAATGACCTTAGAAGACTTAAAACCTATGCTGTTGCTATGAAATCCTTCAAACATACCAAGAGTGAAACTCACGTGCCCATTATTCAGCTCTAGTGAACTCTAACATTTTGCCATTCTCGCTTTAGATTTTTAAGAGTTTTTACAAAGACTGATTTTTTAAAAAGTACTCATTCCTACCTCTGTCCCAGGGAAGCTCTGTTTCTCATAGGAGTTGAGTGCATTCTTTAGATGCACTGGGAAGTGGGACTAAAAGGTCTGGGGCCACTACAGTAGTTTTCTGTACTAAAAACATACGTGTTTGCTTAAAATTTACTTTAAACTTAAAGGACTTAAAAGATGCTATTTTTCAACATAAAATTCAGTTCTTTGAATCTGCAAATGGATAGAAACTTATTAGCTTATTATATCTTCTATTTGGATTTTGAAGGCCTATCTGTTCTTACGTGCTGTGGAGTATCGGGATGCTCATATACAAAAGCTGCCCCCTTACTTGTTGTTTCCCATTGCTCCTTGCTGCCAGGCCTTCATGTCTGGTGACTGGTAGCCAGAAGTGGGCGGAGTCTGCTGGAGCAGAGAGCTCTGAGGAGGAGGGATTGGCATCGGCACCATGGAGCTCCCAGGGCTTAGAGATGGAGCAAAGTTGGTCTCACCTTGGGGAACCATTCCTACAAATTGACACAAATTAATTTATGTGAATACACTATACATTTATCAACACCATAAAAAACAATCCAGAAGGATCTGTCATAACATAGGTAGAAACAGCCTGTTCAACAGAGTTAAGGGAAAGATTTTAGTCTCTCAAGAAAAGAACAAAACAGGAAATTTTAGTATAAACAGATAAATAAACATGTAAAAGAGATTTGGAAGAACATTTCCATTCACTAAGATATTGATCTGGGTACCATGATTACATATGATTTTCTTTTCTGTTCTTTTCTGACTACATGAATTTTTAAGTATCAGAAACAAATCTGAGCACACATAAAAGATTTCTTTTGTAATAAAAAGTAAGTAGAAAGGCTATGGCAGATGTTCACTAAATTTTGATTAACATCTCATGACACACGTAAGTCAAATCATTACGCTGTACACCTTAAACTCACACAGTGTTCTGTATCACTTATATCTTGAACTGGAAGAAAAAAATGACTAAGTCCTGGGGATGTAATGTATAGCATAGTGACTATAGTTAATAATACTGTAATGTATATCTGAAAGTAGCTAGGAGAGTGGATCTTGGAAGTTTTCATCATGAGAAAAAAATTTGTAACTATGTACAGTAATTGATGTTAACTGGACTTACTGTGGTGATCATTTTGCAACACACATAAATATCAAATCATCATGTTGTACACCTGAAACTAATACAATGCTATGTCAATTATATATCAATAAAAAAATATTTTAAAAGCTTAAAAAATAAGTTGAAGAGGAAAAAGGTAAGAAAAACCCATGTATGAAATGAAAAGTGAGAAAGTTTTGTTATTTCCTTCTCCTCAGGTGTCTTTATGGGCTCTTCTTCCCTTCCCTCCTTTTGTTTTTCCCCAAGCTTTACTGAGATGTAATCTATTTAGCGGGCTTTCCTGGTAGCTCAGCTGGTAAAGAATCTGCCTGCAAGGCAGGAGACCCCGGTTTGATTCCTGGGCTGGGATGATCCCCTGGAGAAGGGACAGGCTGCCCACTCCAGCCTTCTTGGGCCTCCCTGGTGGCTCAGTTGGTAAAGAATCCACCTGCAATGTGGCAGACCTGGGTTTGAGCCCTGGGTTGGGAAGATCCCCTGGAGGAGGGCATGGAAACCCATTCTAGTATTCTTGCTTAGAGAATCCCCATGGACAGAGGAGCCTGGCAGGTTACAGTCCACGGGGCTGCAAAGAGTTGGACATGACTGAGTGACTAAGCACACACATACACAATCTATATAGCATCAAATTCACCTACTGAATTGCATAAGTCAATGAGTTTTAGTAAAATTATAGAGTTGTCCAACCATCACCACCATCCAGCTTAGACATTTTTATCACATCTTAAGTTTCCCTGTGCTTGTTTGTGGTGAATGCCCATACCCACCTCTAGCCTCAGGCAACTATTGATCTGCTTTCTGTCCCTACAGATTTGCCTTTCACTGGAAACCATTCATATATCTGAGGTCTTTTATACCTGGCATCTTTCACTCAGTATTAATGTTTCTGAGGTTCAACCATTCTGTGGCATCAATCAGTAGTTTGTTCCTTTTTATTCAGGTTAGTGTTTATTAGCAGCCATTGATATAACTGTTGAAAATCAACTGACCATAAAAGTAAAGGTTTATAACTGGACTTTTTATTCTGTTATAGTAATCTATATGTTTCTTATTGTTCAGTCACTAAGTTGTGTACAGCTCTTTGTGACCCCATGGACTGCAGCACACCAGGCTTCCCTGTCCTTCACTAACTCCTGAAGTGTGCTCAAATTCATGTCCATTGAGTCAGTGATGTGATCTAACCATCTCATCCTCTGCAGCCCTCCTCTTCTTTTGATCTGTATGACTGTACTCATTCTAATACTACACGGTCTTGATTGTTGTATCTTTATAATAACTTTTGAAACTGGTAGTCATCCAACTTTGTTCTGAAATTTGCAAAACTGTCTTGGCTACTCGAGGTCCTTTACATTTCCACATAAATTTTAGCAGAAGCTTGTCAGTTTCTCAAAAAAGCATGTTGATATTCAGATAAAGATAGTGTAATTATAAGATCAATTTAGAGCAAATTACTATCTTTTCAATTTTTTTCCTCTCTGATTTCACTATGTATAGTTTTCCACTGTTATATCTTCAAGTTCACTAACTTTTTCTTTTATAATGTCTAATCTGCTGCTTATTCTGTCCAGTATATTTTTCATCTCACACACTGTAGTTTTTATCTCCAGAAGTTTGATTTTGGTTTTATTTATGTTTCATACCTTTAGTTAACACGTTTAAGAATTCCTCTAGATTCACAAACATACAGAATGTATAATTTATAACTTTTAACTCTGTTGGTTTTGATGACTGATTTTTCTTCTTGTTATTGGTTTTATTTTCCTGTATCTTTGCACGCCTGATAATTAAAAAAAAAAATCAGCTTCCAGGGTTTGTGAATTTTACCTTGTTAGGTGCTAGATTTAAAAAAATCCTTTAAACTTAAATTTTTGAACTTTTTCTGGGCCATGGGTAGGTTACATGGTAACAGTTTTAATTCTTTTGGGTACTGGGCCTAAAGCGATAAGAGCAAAGTTTAGTCTGGTGCTTATTTTGCCCTGCTACTGAGGTACAAACATTTCTGAATATTTTACTTGACAGTCATGAATTTTGAGGTTTTCTATTCTGGTTGGTGGAAAGAGGAACTGGCCCTGTGTTAACTCTGAAGATGTTCCTTCAGTTCTTTTTGGGTGATTTTCCCTGGCCTTGATTTGTGTACACACACATCAACACTGATGAGTTCTCAACTTTAGACCTGAGCAGGACCTTCTGTACATCCCCATGGTTCTCTCTCTTTGTGGCTCTCTTCTCTGGGGTACTGTTTTACTCTAGCTGCTTTAGCTTTCCCAGACTCTAAATGCCACTACCTCAACTATGGGAAACCACTGGTTTCTATTGGATCTCCCCTTCCTACAGCAGAGCCTGGACAATTTCTACAACTATTGTTCAATTTTTGGTTTGTTTCAGAGGGAAGAGTAAATCTCGTCTCTATTACTCCATGACCAAAAGTGGAAGCTGACAACAATTTAAAAAAGAAAAAACAAGCTGCTTCTTATGTTTTCTGTTACATTAGCACTTTGTGCTTTTTTCTTTTTTTCCTGACCAAATATTTCATAGTTAACTACTACTGAGGTAGAGAAAGTTATAAAGGTGCAGGAAAAAAGAATATCATAATGTGATTACCCATAATTTAGTATAACTCAATCAAATCTTCCTCTATGAAGTCTTGCATAACTTTGTGGACTGCTTCTTTCCCTTATCATTATACCATAAGTATGTTTCTATGCCCTTAAATGTCTCCTTGTAAACATAATTATAGGTTCCTATATAATATTTTGTGTTCTGTCATTATTAATACAAAGACTTCTCTTTTTGTTTGGTTAATCTGGCCAGAGATGTAGTTACTTTATTCACTGTTGCTTTTTATAGGCTACAATTTAAAAAAAGTTTTAAATTTTCTGTGAAAGTTTAGTCAACTTTGGACTTTCTGAATTTTTTCTTTTACTAAATGTTTAGCTACTTGTCTTCTTGGTAAAATTTATATAAATAAAGCTACAGATCTTTTCCTTGTTGCTTCTTCTAGATATAATTTAATCTCTGGTAAATAATTCTTGACTTAGAATATATAGACAATTATTCTTTTCATTTATGACTCGAGAGGGTGGGTTTTCCACACCCATCATCTTCATTTTTATATTGACCGTTTGATTAATTCTACATTTTAAATTTTAACTATTCTAGTTATGATTCTTAAAAAATATTTATCTGTTCCTGATGCATTTTTTAAATTTTATTTATGATAAAATAATTTCAGGAAAAATATATATGTGAGGGGAGAGATGCTTAACATATTGTGAATATTATTGTGGGATCAAAGATAAACAATAAATAAGACTAAGTACATTAGCAAGGACATTTTTTTTTTCTGGCCTCATTTCACATTCTAACTGCCCATGTTTTCTTTATCAGATGACCTAGTTTTAGTAGAAAGAACCAGTCCAGTGAATAATAAACTTGGAGGGGTAGAGTTCTGGTCCCAGTTCTGTTACTACACGGGACCATGGATTTCCTGGACCAGACATCTTGTTCCTTCTAGTTTAAAAATTCTACAATTCTATCTTTGATTGTGTTAAGTCTCCCTGCTGGAGTGTAAACAGCACCACAGCCATCTGGCAGCAGCAACTAGAATTAGGATTTATTTTTCCCTTGAAAGACTCACTGAGCATCTGCTTTCCCCACCAGACCACTGTGCGAAGCACCTGAGAAACCAAGATTTCAAAGGTCACACTTAGCTCACTCAAGGAAGTGTGAGCTGTTTAAAAACAAAGGCAGCTGATAAACAAGTGGCTATAAGACAGGGTGGTGAAAGCTCATGATTGGGAGTGTCAGGGAGGGTTTCCTAGAGGAGATACCTCTGAGGGGAGGGAGGAACAGGAGTGAGCCAGGTGAGGGAAGAACCTTTTACAGAGAGGATACACAAAAGTCTGGAAGAGAGAGCAAGGTATGTATTCTTTCTTGAAACTTGAGAGGTTTGTTAAGGTGGAACATGGGGATATGGAGGGAAGGGGAAATGGAGCTGATGCATCTAGCTCTGGTCAAGTTTGGGTCCTGGTGGAAAATTCAAGTCTGTCTGTCCAGCAGGCAGCAGTACACATGAGCTGAGTGATTTGGTTTAGAGATACAGTCACTGGCATAAAGAAGTCACTGAAGTCACAGGAGTAGATGAGGTCACTAGGAGTGAGCACAAGTAGCACGTTTACTATAGTTCACAGAAAAGGGAGCTCTGGATTGGTTCTAAAGAATCCATGAAATAGATACAAAAGTTTCTTTTAAAATTTCCCTTATATTTCCTTTGAATATTACCACAGTAGATAATAAATTTTAAATTTCTAATCCTGTTCTTATGTACTCATCCTTATGGCACAATAGTCTAGAAAAATTTTCTGTTTTCAGAAATAAAAGAAAGTATGCTCTGTCATTATTATTACCTGCGTTCCTTCATTTATGCTGGGCCTATATTAAGCTGTGGGATTCCCTTGTGGCTCAGTTGTAAAGAACGTGCCTGTCAATGCAGGAGACATGGGTTTGTCCCTGGGTCAGGAAGATTCCCTGTAGAAGGAAACGGCAACCCATTCTTGCCTGGGAAATCCCATGGACAGAGGAGCCTGGCAGGCTACAATTCATGGGGATGCAAAAGAGTCAGGCATGACTTAGCAACTAAACAACAATAAACATTAAGTTGAAAGATGCCAAGACAAAGGACTAAAGCAAAACTAATTTATTCATCCTTTGGTTTTACTATCATTGATTAACACAGGGGTCTGCAAACTTTTTCTGCAAAGGGCTCAGATAGTAAAGATTTTCAGTTTTGCAGGTCATAACATTTCCGTAAGAACTACTTAACTCTAATGTGTGAAGTCAGCTACAGACAATATGTAACCTAATGAGCATGGCTGTGTTCCAATAAAACTTTATTTAGAAAACATGTGGTTTTTGTTTTTCTGTTTTTGGAGAAGGCTTGATTTGAAAGTGTTAAAATTTCTCCAGAATTTGAACTTGTACCAACATAGAACCTGGTCTTGAAGCTTTCTACCAGCTTGCTAATCAACTTAGAGAAAGTTTATAACTTAGAGCAATAGAAAATATTTAAAATATTGCACCTTTAAATGTTTTTTATGCTCTCCAGAAAAATAAAAAATTTTTCCTTTGTGCTTTTGTTTTTTCCATGAAAGACCTGAAAGCTCTGCCATTTCATTTCAAAATGCAAATGGATCAAACAAACTGTTACTCTCTCCACTGTACCTAGCTTCTGGGGTTTGTTTGTAGTACAAATACTAACTTTATTTTTGTTTTAAATCTTATTTTGTGAAAAGCATTTTTTGTCAATCAAAAGTAGGACTGGAAGAAAAATCCAGGTACCAGATAGAGCACTTACAATGGGTAGTAACATAGCTGGTTACACTGCCTGGAGAAGAAGGACGTTCACCCACTCATTATCTCGATCACTGTGTTCTATATACAATTTGCAAGAGATCAAAGACACAATCCACAACCCTGAGGGAAATTGTGTCAGCTTCAAAGGAAAAGGGGTTTTGGATCACCACCTTTCCAGGTGGCTTTGTCAAGAAATAGGAGCAGGGGACTTCCCTGGTGGCCCAGCAGCTAAGACTCTGTGCACCCACTTCAGGGGCCCTGGGTTTGATCCCTGGCCAGGGAACTAGATCCTGCATGCTGTAACTAAGACCCAGTGCAGCCAAATAAGTATTTTTAAAAAAAAGAAACAGGAGCAGGATAGAAGTCCTCCTTTCTTGGCTTTCCAGAGATAAAGCATTAAAGAGCATAACTGAAAATTTACAGAACTGTTTTAATTAGTTAATTTTTAATTGAAGTATAGTTGTATAATACTACATAGGTTTCAGGTGTACAACACAGGAATCACAATTTTAAAAGGTCATATATTTATAATCATGATAAAATATTGACTAAATTCCCTGTGATGTACAAGATATCCTTGTCTTATTTTATACATAGTAGCTCTTGCCTTGCCCCTAACTTGCCCCTTCCTCCTTCCTTCTCCCCACTGGTAACCACTAATGGTTTCTACATATATATCTGGTTTTGTCATTGTTGTTCTTATTATATTCACTAATTTATTTTTTTAGATCCACATGTAATTGATATATCACACAATATTTGTCTTTCTCTGTATGACTTATTTCACTTAGCAATATATCCTCCCAAGCCCATCCATGTTGCAAATGGCAAAATTTCATTATATTTTTTATGGCCTAGTAGTATTCCACTGTATACATATACCATGTCCTCTTCATCCATTCGTTGATGGAAATTTAGGTTGTTTCAATATCTTGGCTATTGAAAATAAAGTTGCTATGAACATTGGAGTGCATGTATCTTTTCAAATTAGTGTTTTCTTTTTTTCCAGATAATAGATACCCAGTAGTGGAACTGCTGGGTCACATGGTAGTTTTATTTTTAGTTTTTTGAGGAGTACAGTTAAATACCTTATTTTTTAAAAAGAGTCTACTGGGGAATTTATTAATGTTTGGCTTATCTGTAGTTATTTTTTCCCCAATGAATAAAATAAATCTTTTGATTTAAAGCTCTACAATCAGTATCAAAAATGCTACTAAGAATCTATTTGCTGTTTTGGCTAAGTTGTCATTTTGGAAGAGCAGTGGGGAAACTACATAAGACTTAACTACATAAGACTTCTAATGCTGGAAGAAGTACTTCTGTAGGCTAGAATTAGGTGAAGGAACCGCATCAAACTCTTTGCATAGAGAAATCAAAAGATACAAGAAAAGAAAAAAAAGACACAGGAAAATACAACTCTTCTGAAAGCCACTCCTGTTCAGACAGACAATCTTATAATTAAGATATGGATTTATAATCCTTTTCTTGCCCACACATATAGTGTAAGTGATATAAACCAGCCAAAGATGACTTCATTGTCTTGAGGACAAAGAAACTGATGTGGCTTAATTTTGATTAAAACGTCTTAGAGAATTCTGATGCTCTTTGACACATGTCTCCCCAGATACTTAATTTAACAGTCAAAAGAATTTCAGCACTTGTTGCCACCAGAATAAAAAGTCTAAATTGATTTGGCTGTCAAAGTTGATAAGCATATTGCCATGTGAAAAAATCTCTATATAGCTTCAACATTTTATTCAAGTCAAATAGCAGACTTCTTATTGAAATTCATTTTGAAGCAGGATGAAAATTTACTTTTTCTTTCATTTTTAAAATAAACGGATTTATTTCAACTTTTTTTTTTTTTTTACAGAAACTTGCCATTAATTTAGCATCAAAGTTTAGTTAAACCTGATAGATTAATCAAATGTGTTTTAATGGCACTACTTATTAGAATCTCCAAGTGATAGAAAAATCAAAAAAGATATCATAACCTAGGACAAAGGAGTGTTTTTGAATTGTGGTGTTGGAGAAGACTCTTGAGAGTCCCCTGGACTGAAAGGAGAGCAAATAAGTCAATCCTAAAGAAAATCAATCCTGAATATTCATTGGAAGGACTGATTCTGAAGCTGAAACTCCAATATTTTGGCCACTGATGCGAAGAGCTGACTCATTTGAAAAGACCCTGATGCTGGGAAAGATTGAAGGCAGGAGGAGAAAGGGATGACAGAGGATGAGATGGTTAGATGGCATCTCTGACTCAATGGACATAAGTTTGAGTAGGCTCTGGGAGATGAAGGATAGGGAGATCTGGCATGCTGCAGTCCATGAGTCGCAAAGAGTTGGACACAACTGAGCGACTGAACAACAACAGGACAAAGGAAGCAGGAGAGAGACAGTGCAAATAAAAAAATTTAAGAAAGAACAAAGCTTTTGGAAGCCAAAAAGTTGCCTGATATTTCAGAGGAATAGCTTACAACCTAAGCAGCTAAAAGTGGCGACACCAATGAGAGATCTGAGATAATCTATGAAGACTGACAATCCTTATGTAAACTATCAAAAACAAAATTCCAAGATAATAAAAAATCTGTATGTAAGCCTTATGTATTTATACCCACTGTCTGACATGGACTTTCATTACATTCTTACAGGGATCCATGAGAGAAAGACAGACAGTAAAAATGTGCTTTGCAGACAAAATTTTAGCGTCAGACAGTCCTTAGTTATGGAAGAGAGAAGCCTCAAACCACTCAACCACTCGGTAGCAAGAGGTAAGCCTAGAGCTTGGATTTCCTGACCTCTGTGTCAGTGCCTTGTGGGATCTCGGGTCATCCAGGCCACGCCAGTGAAAGCCCCAGTCCTAACCTCTAGGCCACCAGGGAACTCCCTCAGCATCTTTCCTCTTCAGCACTGCCTCAATGTCAGTGAACTGAAAACACATGTGGAGAGAGAGACCTGAGTCTGATGTGGTACAGTCCTCCTTTCATATCCCTGGGGGATTGGTTCCAGGGCCCTCATAGATACCAAAATCCATGGACGCTCAAGTACCTTAGATAAAATGGGGAAACAGAACCCATGCACATCCCTCCATAAATCATCTCTAGATCACTTTTGATACCTAATACAATGTAAATGCTATGTAAATATGATGTAAGTAGTTCCCAGGGTGCAGGGAATTCAAGTTTTGCTTTGAGGAGCTTTCTGGAATTTTTTTTTTTGGTGGGGGTGGATATTTTCCGCTGGGGTTGGTTGAATCCACAGATAGAAATCCGTGGCTACCGAAGGCCAACTGTATGTACAAAAACAACATAAAGGTATAAATCCTAATACCTGATCCTGGGTACTGGAAGACGTTCTGCTGCATCTGAGGATTGATTCCAGTGCCAAACTGCCCGCCCATGTTTCCTGTCATGCCTCTGTTCACCATGCTGTTGCGGTTGGCCAAGGGCGCCTCGGGATTTGCTGCCAGTTGTGAAAAAGGGCTGGTAGAGGCAGGTGGGGTTCCTGGATTTGTACCATAGTTTGGTGGGTAGGGGAATTGCTGCGGAGCACCCTGAGGAAGACGGGGGTTCCCCATTTGAACTGGCAGTCCAGATGAGGGAGGGAGGTTGTTCCCAAAGCTTTGTTGCCTCATGAGCATGGCTCTTTGCTGCTGTATTAGCTGCCTCTGTCGGTGCTGTTGACTATACAACTCCCGCTGGCGCTGTGCCAACATCTGGGCATTCAGGGGTGGCTAAAGAAGAGAGAAAAAAAATCTTCCCTTATTAATATTATTATTATTACCCCTTACCTTGGAAAGCTTACAGGATAAAGCCTACTAGCTTGGAGCAACAGAATTGCAGCAATTATCAGTGTACAAGGCAAACTAAAACAGAAAAGGAAGAAAACCTCTTAAATAACATCCACAGGACAGAAAATGAATTAAGTACATTTTACATATTAAAGTCAAACAGGACTGAGAAAAGTCAATGAAAACATATATTGATTAGTACTATAATATAGGCCATCATGAAAACCATAAAGGAGAGAAAATGTGCTTGATGATTTCTATCTTATCTGGCATTAGGTTACTAGGGGACTTCTTTTCATTTCCACAAAATTCACCACATTTCTAGTATGGAGAATATTAGTTTTCTCTTTTCTCATGGAGATCATTTATTCCACTTAAGTCAATAAAATGTGATTATAGGTGATTTCAATTTTCTTCATTATACTTTTATGTATTTTCCAAATTATCCATAATGAATGTACATTATCTTTAAAATTAGACAAACCTACAAATACCATTAGAAAAGGAAGAATCAGAAATCTAGGATCCAAGGCCAAACAAATGATCACTTAAAAAGAAAATCATTAATTAGAAACAAAATAATACACAGAAATAAATGAACCCTGGTATTTTATAGCATTGTTGTAGTATGAGACTGCTCCAGGCATTAGAGTAAGTATTTTAATAGCTATAATATTATGAATGATGAAAGAAGTGGTAAAATTAGTTTGAAGTCTCCTTTTGGGCTAACTTGCAAAGCAACATGGCACATCAACAAAGCCTTCCTCAGAAAATGTCCATTCAGGTAGAGGAGCTATTAAAGCATACAGCTTCATAAAAATGAAACTTGCCAACCAGAAGTAGCCCAATATGGAAGAAACTGACACATGACTTCTTAACAGAAGTTGTCTTTATGTGAATTCCAACAGTGGGGTCTTGTTTCCTTATAACCGATTTCCCCTTGCATGAACTAACCACTGAGACTTTTAAGGCAGAGAAACCCAAGTCTGGATCCATGGAGACGCCAATATCTGCTGCTTAACAGGAGCTTCTATCAATATTTATCCTTTTGGTTAGTATTTGCCCTCAATCCAACTAGGTCTTTTATGGAGAAAAGTTTGTCTGAATCCATTCTAAAATACCTCATCTCCCCAATTTTTGTGTTCTTGGTTGGGGGGAAAAAAAGTGGTTGAGGGAATTCCCTGGTGGTCCAGTGGCTGGGACTAAGTGTTTTCACTACTGTGGGCCCAAGTTCAATCCCTGGAGAACTAAGATATCACAAGCCACATGGTGCGGCCAAAAATAATAATAATAATAAGTGGTTGAAGCAAAAATATTAGTTGAAGCAAAAATATTAAAGTATGTGCAGAAGTAAGGATGAAAGACTGTATCACACTTAGAAGGCTACCTGGTTCTTTTTATGTTTACTTTCAATGGCTATGAGCTCACACACAGGATTGTTAGAACAAAAATTGGAAAATGCTGATGCTCAGACTGAACAGAGAACACAAGGCAGTTAAGATAACTAAGCAATGTGACTGGGTTTTGATCAGGTTTCAGGTACTGTGCACACAGTTTCATATCCTTGGCTTCTTATTACTGATACTATTCAGGACAGCAATAAGAGTTTTCTACTTAGTCACCTGATACCTAATAGCAGTGACAACAATAACAATAAAATGAAACAAAGAACCCTCAGCTTTAGATCAAATATCAGTAGGGGGTATCACAAGCTGATTATAAATTCATTCTAAAAGAAAGCTACAGTACAAACATCATTAAGAGATGAGTTCACAGACCATTTCAAAAACACCTAAGTCAACACTCTAAGAAACACAACTTGGGTTAGAGAAGTACTAACAATGCCTGGTTTTCTCACATTACCTGAGGTGTAATTTGCTGCTGCATGCCTGATCTCATATTGATGCCAACAGGAGCATTTGCTGCAAATTGGTTCAAGATAGCTTGCCGATTTTGGTGTATCAACTAGAGAAAAATAGAACAATGAGATAAACTTCTACACACAAACATATAGCATGGCCCTTTAGAGAAACATAAACTTTTTATTGATTATTAAGAGGTTTTAGTGTTGCAGGTTTAGTAAGATTATTTCCCACATTTATTTGCCAAAAGGTGGCATTTATCAAATGCCTAACATTTATCAAATACTTTCTGCCTACAGAACTCTAAATATGGCAGAGCATTTAAAAGTAGAATACCCACACAACACAAATATATACAAATACATACATGTATGTACATGCACACATGCCTATATGCATATATTACAGGTGCATGTATTCTATTTTTATGCTCTGCCATATTTAGTGTTCTGCAGTGTTATATACATATATATGCACACAAATATGTTTATCATGCTTTCTTTTTGTAATTTTTAAAACTCTTTATCTTGTATTTGGGTATAGTCAATTTTGGGGGGGGCTCCAAAATCACTGCAGATGGTGACTGCAGTCATGAAATTAAAAGACGCTCGCTCCTTGGAAGAAAAGCTATGACCAACCTAGACAGCATAGTAAAAAGCAGAGACATTACTTTACCAAAAAAGGTCCATCTAGTCAAAGCTATGGTTTTTCCAGTAGTCAAGTATGGATGTGAGAGCTGGACTTATACAGAAAGCTGAGCACCGAAGAATTGATGCTTTTGAACTGTGGTGTTGGAGAAGACTCTTGAGAGTCTCTCTGCAAGGAGATCCAATCAGTCCATCCTAAAGGAAATCAGTCCTGAATATTCATTGGTAGGACTGATGCTGAAGCTGAAACTCCAATACTTTGGTCACCTGATGTGAAGAACCGACTCATTGGAAAAGACCCTTATGCTGGCAAAGATTGAAGGCGTAAGGAGAAGGGGACAACAGAGGATGTGATGGTTGGATGGCATCACCAACACGGTGGACATGAGTTTGAGTAGGCTCCAGGAGTTGGTGATGGACAAGAAGGCCTGGCATGCTGCAGTCCACGGGGTTGCAAAGAGTTGGACATGACTGAGTGACCAAACTGAACTGATAGTCAATTAACAATGCTGTGACAGTTTTACATGAATAGTAAAGGGATTCAGCCATAACAATATATCCCCCAAACTCCCCTCACATCCAGGCTGCCACATAACAAGTTCCATGTGCTATACACTAGGTCCTTGTTGGTTATCTATTTTATATCATGGTTTTAAAAACTCATTAATATTTAATTATTTCAGACACATGCAATAATGGAGAAAAAAGAAACATCAGCCTTGGTCTTAAAGGGTTGTGAGTAAAAAAAGTACATATACATAGGGAACACTCTGTAAAGGTCTGGAAGATGAATGGAAAAGTTGAGGTACTTCTGACTTGGAGGGCACCTGTCTGATGGGCACGTATTTGGGAAAAATCCAATGTGATTTCATTAGCTGCAGAGAATTATGTAAGAAACAAATGGTCTGAGAAAATGGACTATTTATTTAACTAGAAGAAGTAATTATACTTTAGACCAGCATTTCCCAAATTGGTGTTCTAAAGAACATTGTTCTGCAGGATATTAATAGATGTGCCAGGAAAATAGCATGCTGTGCTGTATTAAGCATTGGAAATAATGGGTTACACAAGGTGAAACAGATTTCTTTAGTGTAGTAATTCTATGAGCCTTCAATTGGCTAAAGCACATTGTGGAGCTCCAAGAAGGGGATAAACTATGCAATTCATTTATCGTGAACCTTTTTTTCTGACATATAGCCATTTATTATTATTTCCTAGAACAATCTTCTATGGTACACTAGTTTGAAAGATACTGTCTATATCAGGCTCAGGATTCCATATCAGAGGTATGCCTTAACTTTAGCAGGTAACAAAACAAGCATCCTTAGAAAGGGTATTTCCTGATAAACAATCTACTGCTTCAAGGATTACTTGCTCAATAATGTGATATGAATAAACTGGTTAGGGAGATAATAGTAACAATAATATCAACCTCGTTTTGTGTTGAAATAGTACTTTATGATTTATAAATTTCTTATAAAATAGTCAACCTATCAATATATTTTAATATCTTCATATTTAATATATTTAATAAATTTTAATATACTATTTATAAACTAGAAAGTCTCTTAAAGTTTTATAAGAGAATCCGAAGAGTTGTGAATAGTGATTAAATCTCTCATCTCTAACAAGCTTAATTCTTAACTCTAGTTTCATTCATTTTTTGACTCCAATTAGATTAGAAAACAAAATGACTTGGAGGGAGAAGCCCGATACAATATAAATATTACAATTATAACTTTCAGGCACTGTGGAATAGGATAAAACATCCAGAATCACGTCAAAAATAAAGATAACAAATATTATGGCTGTAAAAGTCAAAGAGGCTCTTAAAAGTATGAAAATCTACATACTTCTTAAACTCAAACTTATGTCAGATCTTGGACATAAGTTTAAATTAACCATTAGTTTTACAAAGATTTGTCAAAAAACTTGGTAAATGCAAGATACAAAATAAAGTTTGAAGCCTACAAAAGTGAGTTAATTTCTATTTTCTGGGAATTCTCTGTTGAGTGGCAGAGGTCAATACAGAACAGTGCAATGCACAAGTTATAGCCTGAATATATAGAGAGATGTACAGCAGCATGGGGCAGCAACTAACTTAGCCTAGGACATGAAGGCAGGGACCAAGAGCATGAGTGAGCTCAATGGGACCCTGAAAGATGAGAATGCCAGGTGGCAAAGAGGGTAGTAAACTCAAGGCAGAAGGAACAGCAAGTCTAAAAACAGAAGACACAGGGAATGAAAACAGGTGAAGAAAAGTAACACTGCCAGGAATGTGGGAGTTGGGATTCCAAACTGACAGCTTTATATATTCTTTGCATTGTGAGATAATGTGAAAATGAAATGGTTGGGGATGGAGGAAAAATGAGAAGTAACAAAAATGAAAAAACAACCTTAGAAAAATAAATCAAAATCCTATAAAATAAATAGGTAATTTTTAGAAGTAGAAGAAATTGTTCTAAAAGCAGCAATCTACGAGCACTTTCTGTTAAAGAAAAATGATCTATTCCTACCTTCAGAAATACTCTTATTTCCACCCCCCCGCCGACTATCTGTGTGTACAACCTAACGCTGTGTACAGTTTCACTCTGATCTGCCTCTTCTTTCTGATTACTAAAATTTTACCCATTTTCCAGCAACTTCCTCCAAAGAAGTTCTCCTAAAAGGATCACCATGTCCTTAATCTCCTCTGAAATCTTAATTTTTGTTAGTTAGGGAGTTGGGAGGAGAGAGGTTGATAATCATTAGAGCTGGTAACACAAATTCAAAAGCCTATAAGGGTCTCGTTGACAGGCTTGTTGTATTACTAAAGGAGATGTATGTGGGGCTTGTGGCCACTGAAAAAGCACAAACCCAGCCTATGTGTATAAATGCACACATGTGCATGCACACACACACAATTCAGGCTTGCTTTCACTTTGTCTGAATGGAGTTTTTTTTCCAGTGCCTCAGTAAGAAGTCCTCCTACAGTAAACCTAAAAGATGATTATCTTGTCAAGAGGTTCTCAACCGGGGGTTTTCTGCCTCATAAAGGAGAGTTGGCAATACATGAAGACATTTTCAGTTATCACAACTTGGAGAAGGGCTGCTCTTAGTATCTGGTGGGTACAGGCAAGGGATGCTGCTAAATATCCCCCAGAGCACCAGAAGCACCCCCTTAACAAGAATTATCCAGTTTCAAAACACTAACAGTGATGAGGCTGAGAATCCTGATTCAGTCGGAAGCTTATTCTTTTATCAAGCAGTTTTTATTGCCACAAAGTTTTGCTTCTCATCTAGAATTAAAACAAAAACAAAAACAAAAAACCTCTTTCTGAACCACAGTTGGTTTAATCTGCAGATGCGGAACCTGAAGATACAGAGGGCTGACTAAGTTTTGAATACCCCAGGCTGACGATAAGCTCTGAAAACTGCCTCTATCTCTTTATTCTTTGCATTTCTCTCAGAACCTGGTACAGTCATCATAAACATGTTCTGTGAAAAATTAAATACAGGGGAGCTAGTAAGTATTTCTTATTCTTATGCTGTCTAATGATGATTGACAAGTTGTAACAAGAAGCAGTTTATTTTAAAATAATATTCAGAACATATTATTAATACTATACCCTCGCTTTGTTTCTCTTTTTTTCCTTCTCTTCCCTTAATTTCCCTTTGTGTCTTTTACTTCACACTAGCATTTAAAAATTACTCCTTATTAGTCTACCATTAAAAGCTTTTCACTTTATGCCATCTCTTCCTCCCTTTCATCATCTTCCTCTTTTTAAGTGGCATGGAAGCACATTTTATATTACTTGTTATATTTATTGGATATAAATTCATAATAATAGTGAGTATTTACTAAATGGGACTACATTAAATTAAATGTGCACTATTTATTTAAACACCATCCTTGTAGAGAAGGGGGACAAAAAGAAGCAGATGTAGAAAAATATGGGAAACCTACTGAAAATGTGTTCATTTCTCCAGTACCCCTCGACTCCCCCATTCTGCAGCACAAAATTAGTGCAACTCACGTTTTCATCAAAATTCCACTGTAACTCAAAAAGCAATATGGCTGGAGGTCTCCTGGCCCCTACATGGGAGTGTAGTTTTTATAGATATTAAACAAAAATCTCTAAAAATTAAATTTGCCTTTATATATTCTTTTAATATATCAAGCACTCTGTTAAGAGCTTTATATCCAAGCTCTACTTGGATATAATGGCTATTAAAGCCATTAATAGATGGCTCAGAGATAAAGAATCCACCTGCTGCCTGTGATGCAGGGGACGTGAGTTCGACCCTTGGGTTGGGAAAGATACCCTGGAGGAGGAAATGGCAACCCACTCCAGTATTCTTGCCTGGAAAATCCCAAGGACAGAGGAGCCTGGCGGGCTATGATCCATGGGGTAGCAAAAGAGTGGGACATGACTTAGAAAATAAACAACATCTATTAATGTTATCTCATTTAATCCACAAACCAGCTAAGAGATAAAGGAATTAGATTCTTTTTAAAGAGAAGTCATAGGCTTTAATAGGGTAAATAATTTTACTACTGACCCACCTCACGTAAGGTTAGAACTAGGACTTGAAACCAAGGCTAACTCTATCATGCTGCCTAATAAATTTACCTACCTCCTTCTTCCTCTTCCTTCCTCTATTAGTAAGGCTCCAGAGACCTTTTTTAAATGCTTTTTTAAAAATCCAAAGCAAAACAGACATATGGATAAAGAAATACAAAACAGTAATAACAACAGAAGCAACAACCTACATTCCTGGTCCCATTTCCCAGAGGATAGTTTTAACCATTTGGGTTTCTAGTTCTTAATGATTATCCCTGTAACTGCTGCTTAAACAGTCTTAAATATTTATGTCATTACACCTGCATATTATTTGTCATGAGAGAAAATATTTACCAGCAGTATCTCTTGATGCTCTACTTTAGAAATTAAGCTGTGCTTCAATTTTATTAATTTAATAGTTATACGGGATGTTCACCCTAAATATTTTTTATCTCAAAAAATGTAAGTAAATTGCTTTTAAACTCTTGGTGTTAAAGGACTTTGTTATGAGCCAGCAGTCTTTAATTGAATGAGTCTCCCTTATTCTTATCAGAGCAGACTAAGGATGACATTTTGTGTCATAAAGGGTCTGGGAGTGGACTTAACACCTTTAGTGCACTGGGTTGGCCAAAAAGTTCATTTGCGTTTTTCTACAACATCCCATGGAAAACCCACACCAACCTTTTGGTCATTCTAATAGCATTTGGGCTGTCTTGTTACATAGAGCTATTAGCACGTACCTTTAAAAAGGATCACCTGTTGAACAAGGGTACTCACCTGCTGTTGTCCTTGCAATCGTTGTTGAAGTTGAAGTCTAAGTTGGTTGGGTGCAGCTGGAGGTCTGTTTAGTGTTTGCCTGGGCTGCATGCCCATGCCAGGTGAAAAAGCACCTCGAGGAGGTGTTACTTGAACAGGCATAGTCCCCAGTGAAGGTTTTTGCCTGACCATGCCCTGGAAAGGACTAGAGAGATTGGCAGTAGGTGAAGGAGAAGAATAAGGCTGGGAATAAAGGTTGGGTCTTTCTTCCATCATCAACGGTGGTGTTGCTTGCTGTGGTGGAAATCTCTCTGATAATACATCTAATCCACCTCCCTGTTGGAAAATAAGCCAGAACATTTTACAAATACATTTCTGCCAATGAATGACATGCTTCTCTATACAATTTTGGATATGAGATCATATAAAGAACTCCAGAAGTTTGCTATTAATACTTAAAGGAATCACTTATGAAAGTTGCTTCTGAAATGGAGTAATAGATTAACTGGGATGTTTAAAACCTCAGTAAAGAGATGAAAATATGGTTAAAATGAAGACCCTAAATCAATGAAATAGAGCTAAATAGTTTGAAAAGAACCTTACTGCAAAGCCTAATAATCAACAAATGTTAAATTTAATAGATTATCATGAGAAGTAGATTCCTAAAAGAGAGATTAATTTTTCTATGTCAAATATAAAATTCATGCTTTTATCTTGTTTGAAAAAAAAATTCATAGCTGACCTAACAGAATGCCATAGAGCTATGGCTTTCAAACTTTTTGATTGTTACTTATTGAAAGAAATACAATTTAAATTGTGACCTACTGTTTGTTTATGTAACTGCAAACAGAGTTTCATAAAACATAAAACATGAAACTTTCCCTTTTTCTGCATTCTGACAGTCTTTAGTCTACATTATTCTATCCATTAAAAAAAAAAAGCTGGTCATGATGCACTAAATTGATTTTTTAACTCCAGTCTCAAAAATACTAACCTGGAAGTTGGAATGTCATAGGCTGAAGTCTAGCATGAATGAAGGATAAATTAAGTCCTAAAATAAGAAGTAATAATATAAAATCTGGATTCTATTCTAGGGAGAGCTTCTAAGATTATGTTCCATAGTAAAAGGCTACAACTCGGTAATTATTATGACAGGCTTTTTGTTTAAAAAGCCCATTATTTAACTATTATATATTTGGATAACTTTCACAAGGGTAAATTATAAAATAGCTACCATACAGTGAGAGTCATACGGAAAAGTCTTGCTTAAAAATAACTTTCTAGCTTTTTAGGGCTGCATCATTTAAAAAGTGCCAACTATATTAAATACCTGAACAAGTTTGTCAATTCCCAAAGCTCTGTCTAGTTCAGCTAGCTCAGTTTCATCTTTTCCACTGAGGAAGGATACCAGCTGTTCAAGAAGGGCCTTCTCATCATTTCTTCCTTCGACTGTTGTTGGTGGACAGAGAAGTTCATCTAATTGTGAACTAATACACTGGCTGACGAATCAAAAGATAAGAAAGATAAAGACTGATATAGCAAATAAGTATTCAACCTTAAGAATACAAATATACATACACATATATGCAAATCTAGTTCTAGGAAATTGCCAAGATTTTTTTAAAACCAATTCTTATGCAATGAAATTTTCTATACTTAATGTGCAGAAATTTATGAACATTCGGTATGCAGCTTGAATATATTTTTCATTATTTTGTCAATCACTGAACTTTGTTCCCACATTCTTCATGTTAGCTTACAAAAATACCCTGAAAAATTAACCAAACATAGTTAAGAGAAGATAATTTTTAACACAAGTAGAAAATAAAAATCAACCAAAAACTAAAAAAAAAAAAAAAATCATTTAATCCAAATCAAAATTTATACCATTGTTTATATTCTATACGTGCAATTAATTATTGATAATTGAACCATAATGAAAACAGTACATATTATATATACTACTTAACTTTCAAAGATGATCAAATCATGCTGGTAACATGACAAAAGAAATCAAACTAGAAAAATGCTCAGTGTTAACCAATGCTCAGTGTTAACCAACAAACTGTTGATTACATGTAGGAAATACATAGTCTAATCCAATTGCTATCAATTGATGCATAAAACTTAAAGATATATAGAAAATTACACTAGTACTAATACTACCTCTATAAGGATTCTTCTTTGGGGAAGGTAAACGAGACTAGAGGTCATAATTAAGGCTTCACACTCAATGCTACCTAGTCATCCTTTGGTTGCTATATATGAGATGCACTCTATGTGTTGAAATAGAGCTACCTGTGTGGATTAAGAGATCAAATTCTACTCAAGTGGGGATACTAAGCAGATGCAGAAAGTACCTTCTCTTCTTATGCATTCTTGCTCCAAACGAAGAGAAAAGCTGGACAAAATAATTATACAACTAAGAACTCAAGAGCAATAGAGTTGTTGTGCTGAGGCCAATTCACCTACCAGTCCCTGAAATTTTATGGCAATCAATCAAAGCAAAGTAAGAGATGAAAAATAAAGCTGCATACTATATCAATCTCTTGGTAATTAAAATATACACTAGTCTTGCAGTCATGCAGTAAATAAATCTGTTTGATTTGGTGTCCTCCCCCATCCTTTTTTTTTCATTAAACCTTCACCTTCTATTAATATCTACAAAACAAAACACCAACACAAACTGGAATCTAGTTTGGGAAAAGCAGTTCTTTGCTGTAGAAGATGGTATCTGTTACTTGATAATATACAAAATGTACTACTCACTCTTCTGGCTTATTCTGATTTACAGCTGTCACTGTATTATTTGCCCATGGAATCTGATCACCAGTTCCTGGTTGTCCAAACTGGTTATCAATTGCTTCTAATTCCAGTTCAGGTAATCCTGGTTAAAGAAGGAAAGGTAAGAAGTCAGGATATATTAAAACAGAAGATAAGATGATAATATTTTTCAGAAGTAATATATTATATAGTAGAGTGAGATTTCCCCTATAAAATACTACTTCAATGTTACAAAGGTCACTTATTCAGAAACTTATACTATCTAGAATGTGACCACATAATAACAAGTAAATGGGAAAGTGAGAAAAGTTCTTTGGGTCAAAGAGAATCTGGACTTCCCTGGTTGTCCAGTGGCTAAGACTCCGTGCTTCCAATGTGGGGAGCCCAGGTTCGATCCCTGGTTGAGGAACTAGATCCCACATGCCACAACTAAGACCCAGCACAACCAAATAAATAAATAAGTCAATAAAATAAATACAAAGAAAATGTGATGTTAAAGGTTTTTATACATTACCATAAGAGAATCACTTAGAACTCCTTCAGAAATTACTGATTTTAAAGATAATCATAACAATTTCCGTTAACTGCTTTTTCAGTCTATACCCTATTACAATATGCTATAAGTAGGGACAGTGCTACTGTCATGAAATGTCTGAGAGATGCAAGTAAAAGACAAAATATGTTCTATAAAAGGCAGAATCAGAAGCTAAAGTGCACTGCAAACTGGGGCCATTTAGTAAATGGACAAAACTCTACAGTGGTTAACTGAGAATATAGCTATACAATAAGGGTATGATAACTGTTGTCTATAATGATGACAAATGAAAAAAGAGGTTGAATTATGCTTTATGGTGTAGTGGTAAAGTATTCGCCTGCCAATATAAGAGACACAGGAGATGCAGGTTTGATCCTTGGGACGGGAAGATCTTCTGGAGTAAAAATGGCAACCCACTCTAGTATTCTTGCCTGGAGAATGCCATGGACAGAAGGGCCTGGTGGGCTACAGTCCCTGCAGTTGCGGAGAGTCGGGCACAATTGAGCAGAGCACTACAGTACAATGGAAGGTGGTAGGATGCACAGTTTTTTTTGAAGGCTTTGATTATTTCTGTACTACTTATATTAGGGAAAAAACTGTAAAGAACCTAAATTCCAGAAATTTATTGATTAATGGATTATGGTACAGATATTTATAACATGCTGATAAATGAAAAAGGAAAAAAGTATAATCCAAGACATTATGTTCAGGATGAGTCTATTCTTATAACAGAATATTATAAAATTTCTATATATTAATCGAAAAAATCTGGTAAGCTATATATTCTTGGTAGGTTTTAGATTGTGAGACTAAGGATTACTTTATTTTCTTTTAGTGTTTCTGATGGCTATTTGTAATCTTGAAAAGGAATAAAATTTATATGTTGAAACCCTAACCTCTAGTATGTCAGAATGTCATTATATTTGGGGACAAGGCTTTGAGTGAAATAAGAGTTGTCAGGGTGGCTCCACTTCAAACACTTCAATATAACTGGTGTTATAAGAAGAGGTGATTAGGACACAGATGGCGCAGAGAGATGACCATGAGGACACAGCAAGAAGGAAGCCATCTGCAAGCTAGTGAGAGAGGCAGCAGAAGACAGCAAGCCTACTGACCCTCCTCAACCTGAACTTCCGGCCTTCAGCTTCTGAGGAAATAAATGTCTATTGTTTAAGTCACTGGTCTGTGGTATTTTATTATTATGGCAGCCCTACTAAACTAACAAAAACTAAAAATGCCTTAGTGGCTTAAGAAAATATAGAATTAGGTAGAATTCCTCATTTTAATGAATGGAGGTAAATAGATTTAAGGATACCCCTCAAACTTTTTTAATGCTGCATACTGATCATTATTAACTGCATAAAACATGTTAGGCTCACTTAATCTAACTTGACTATATATTGAAATATACTTAATATTTAGTATGAATGAAATATAGGAGTGCACATAAAAGCACATTCACTTCTAAATACAAAAAATTATAGCTTGCAATTAAACTTGTCTTCTTTAGCATGACAAATGATATAGAAATAAAAAAAAACACCAAACAACAACAATAAAAGGTGAAGGGAAAGTAGTCACTTAATTCTTCTCATTATTTCAATCAGAAGTTGGTCAGAGAAGATTATCTCAAGTTGTCCCTTTGCTCTGCTCCATACAATAATTCCTGTCTTATTCCATTTTAGAAACCTAACATAAACAAAATCATATTTAAAAGTCAAAGAAAATGGATGAGGAAGCTGTGGTACATATACACCATGGAATATTACTCAGCCATTAAAAAGAATTCATTTGAATCAGTTCTAATGAGATGGATGAAACTGGAGCCCATTATACAGAGCGAAGTAAGCCAGAAAGATAAAGACCATTACAGTATACTAACACATATATATGGAATTTAGAAAGAAGGTAACGATAACCCTATGTGCAAAACAGAAAAAGAGACTCCTATGTATAGAACAGACTTGTGGACTCTGGGAGAAGGCGAGGGTGGGATGTTTCAAGAGAACAGCATTGAAACACATATATTATCTAGGGTGAAACAGTTCACCAGCCCAGGTTGGGTGCATGAGACAAGTGCTCGGGCCTGGTGCACTGGGAAGACCCAGAGGGATGGGGTGGAGAGGGAGGTGGGAGGGGGGACCGGGATGGGGAATACATGTAAAAAAAAAAAAAAAAAAAGATACACTATGGTTGTGATTAAATAAATAAATAAATAAATTAATTAATTAAAAAAAAAGAAAAGAAAAGTCAAAGAAAATTTACATGGCTGTCTATCATCAAGACTTAGTATCACAGAATAGCTTATTTGACTCAGTAACAGGACATAGTATCTCACAGCAGTCTTGATGAGAAAAAAGGTTAAGAAAACAAGTTGGATAAAATATTTTCAAAATAAAGTAAGATTATTGTGCTAAATTTGGTGACTAGGGGAAAAAACCCAATCAATCACTGATTTAATTAAAAGTTTTGTTTGCATAGGCTATATACTTAAAAGAAGCTGGTTTTTATTCTAAAAGTCACTTTAACATTTTAGGAGTTCCTTTAGAAACTGACTTCTTTAAAAAAAAACTCGATTTGCTGAATGTTTTACAAAATACACAATTTATCTCTCTTTATCCAGGGAATAAACCTACTACTTTTGGTCATGTTTGTGTCTCTGCTACAAACATGAGTGAGTATGTATATATGTTACACAAGATAGGCACAGGGATTTTTAAAGGGACATATTACTGTGTTTACTAGTCTCTGCTGGAGAGAGGCAGCTGACATCGGGGTAGAAAAAAGCTATTAGGGACTCCTGATCAAGCTGTTAATTTTTTAAATAATCTGTGCAAAGGGCTCAGCATTATATTTTCTCCATTTTAAATATGGTTAAAAGAAAATCTTATATCCCCATTAGCCACAGTGATTTCATGTAAAAAAAAAAAACTGAATAACCCAGTAGATAACAGGTCACAAAAAAGCACTGAAAAGTGATAATCCTAATTTCACAATAAAAGACATACATATTAAAACTACATTGAGATACTTAAAAAACTCATCAGATTGGCAAAGATGAGAAAGTGCATAACTCATGATTAGAAAGGATGTGTAGAAAGAAGAACATTATCACAGTGTAAACTGGCATAAGAAAGGCCATTTGGCAAAATCCATCTATGCTTTGACCCAGCAATTCCATTCAGAATTTACAGTTCAGATATACTCTTAGATTTGGTCAACCATCTGTACTATGTAAGATTATTAATTATAGTTCCACAGTAGCAAAACATGCCTACCAATAGTCACAACACACTAAACACAACCTCAGAAACAGAGAACTAAAAATAAATTTCTAAACATACTGAAAATGTTTTATGTGAAACATTTATCTTTAGAGTTATGCAACACTCAGTGTATCACAGATTAATAAAATTTTAAAAATAATCACCTCAGAATGTGTATGTTCACAGAACAAAAAAATGAGCAGGAGGTCATTCATTTACTTCAGTAGTGTTGCCAGTGTTCAAATATTTTTGGAATTCTAGAACTGTCTTCTCTAGTATACAAGCCCTTCAAGAAAATACTTCTAATTATATCTAACTTTGATTCTGATTTTTTTAAAGTATTATTCTTTTTGGATCAACAAATTTGGCTCCAAATTATTTCACAAAACTTCAAAAGTCAAATCCACCTTTAAAATATAGGCATTTGAAGACGGACAAAAAGACATGGCAGAGGTTTTGAAGGTACTGGTAAGAGAGCACATTATATATGTTTTGATCAAGATCTTCCTAAATTCTTTTAACGTGCTCTACGTTTCTAACAAAATTATTTAAGTCACGCGGTCACACTGCATGGGAGTTTGTGTGTGCCTATAAACAATGTGTTTTGAAACCAGGCAGGCTGAAATTTAAATCCCGGTTCTGTGTACACTAACTGGATAATTTTGGGCAAGTTTTTGTATCTCTGTGTGTGTTTTCTTTCTTTGGACCTTAGTTTTCTTGTACGTAAGTAGATCTACAGAAAATTTTTGGTTCAATGTGACAGATTTACCATCTCTATTTTATTCTACACCCAAAGTTTTCATGGAAATAAAGGAAATTAAAAGTGAACAATAAATCTACAGCTGAAGGAGAGGTAAAAGAAGTAACATGGCAGCTGACTAGAACAATGAAAACAAAACAGAATGAAAAATAAAACTGATGGAGAAGTTCACCTAAACTAAAAAACTTACATTAGGACAAAAGTGGAGATTTTCCAAAAGAGGGAGTTTACTCAGAGGGACACCAGAACAACTTCAGGCTCAGTGGTCATTTGAGCAAGTAAAGGAACAGGCCATGGGTGATTGCCGGGATAATTAAAGGACAACTGAACAGCTGTCACCAGGCCCTACTCTGAGTGCAGCTGACTCTGGCGTCTGCCCATGGGATTAAAGTGGTGAGGACATGACTCAGTGTGGGAGTTCTGCCCAGGGAATCTCCCAAAGTGGGTGCGAGGGCTGCCACGAGGGATTTCCCTCTCACCAGCCCCCACTCCTTCACCACAACAACTGAGCATCAGGGCTTCTATAATCAGAAGGTACATTC